CAACAAACACACATGGCTGCCGTCTACCGGTCTTATAAAAAAGTTTCCCCGCCAGAGGGGGCGCTCGCGAGTAGGAAGTAATCTGCTTGTATCTGCTTGAAGATGGTCCAAATCTCATGTGAAGTCTCTGACTTTTGTGTTGGCGCATCCTGGTGGACTATGGGTAAAATGCCAGAATTCGTATGATGCTCAAAAATCATAGTTTGCTGATGTATATTTGTTGTCAAAGTACCTTTTAGTACATATGTTGTTAAAATAAAATGAACAGTCCAATGATCATTTTACTGATATGTATAAAGACTGCAAAGGCTGAAAAATCCTTAAGTCTGTATGAAATTGGAGGTAGTTTGAGGATTAAATTTTTTATGCTTTTTAAGCTCAAAAAAAGGTGGGTTCGTATTATACATGAGATCATATTATACATGAATAAATACGCTAACTGATTTCATTGTTGTTTTTAAGATTAGCTTGCCATGGCAGCCATCTTTAATTAAGTTGAATCCAAAAAAAAATTCAATTGTAGGGATGTAAGTTGGATTAAAATCTGTCCTTTGGTTTACGGAGTTGATTCAAAATACTGGGCAAGTTTAAACAAAAAGCTCGAGTTTTAGCGTAATTTCTGTAAAACTGACTGAATGAGCACATATTTCATTTTGAGGATTAGAAATACCCCAAAATGTTTTATATATAAATGGTYAAATGGTAAATGGACTGTACTTATATAGCYRCTTTCTATCCATCCAGGACACTCAAAGCGCTTTACACTACAGACATTCACCCATTCACACACACATTCACYCACTGATGATGGTAAGCTACATTGTAGCCACAGCTGCCCTGGGGCACACTGATATATAGATGCATTCTTTTGTTTATATCTGTATTTATTTATAATCGGTGATGCTTTGCAATAAAAATAACTGGATATCTAACTCACCACTTCCTGTACTTTATTTATCATATTATACATGAGATCGTATTATACATGAATAAATACGGTAATATTGCTGTTATGGCCGATAACTGATATTTATCGATATTACACAAAATGTTTATATTATATATATCACCAACGTGATGAAACAGATACCGCTCCACCAACCATCTCCTCCCAAATCAGAAACACAAATGGCAACAAGCAGGAAGTCAATTTCAACCCAGTTTTACTTATTGGACCGATACGATACGCTAAAAAATGACCAACATTGGCCAATACCGATGTTAATGCCGATATATCATGCATCCCTATTTACAACAAATGATAAGTTTTATAGATCCAATGTAAATTAAGTTTCTTGTTTTTCTCATTTTACATCCAAAGTAAAGTTAGTTTAGAGAGAAAGAGGCAAACTGATGAAAAACTTTCATCAACATTACACAGAAGAAAGCTACATCCTGTTCTCATCTTTTGGTGTCACATCACTCTGAAGGTTTATTATTTTTGGAGGTTCATTACCATCAAAAATAGATATCTGCCTCATTTCCATTTCCACTTCATTTCAGCTGATGCTTGGTGTGCTGATGACTCACTCTTCCAGCCACCGACGTTGCTTTTTTTTTGCGCTGGAAGATGACACAAAGTGAAAACAATAGTTTGGAGAATAAACTTCAGCAAGTTATTAACTAATTCTAAATAACCGCCACCTTTGCATTGCTTTTTTCTTTAACTTAGAGAAGTAGCTAGTTGGTTTTGTGTATTTTAAGGTCTCAGCTAAAGGAAGTAGTTCATGAAATTAATTTTAATACAGTTTTACTTCGTGTTTTGCATGGTGTGAAGATAACTTCACAGGATTGGTCAAAACAGTGCAACTCTGCAGCGATTAACTGAGCGTATTCTAACACATTAGCCTCTCAGAACCAAACTCTACATGGTCATTTACATCCCACTCTATAGTTATTTGTAAGTGCATGTAACTGTAGCCTAAAAAGACTATAAATTGATAAATTATGACCTGGAATTCACTAATCTACGACTTGTCAAACGGCAGTTTTATTACCTCAATCATCAGCTGAAGAAGTAAAAGCAAGTAGAGAAAACCCTTAAAGAGCTCTGAGAGCTGTTTGGTTGAATCAGAATTATGGCCTCAGACAGTTTGAGTATAAACTCAAGACTTGTCAGACTTTCTTCTTCTTCACCCTCTTGATAGTTTTGCAGAAAGTGTTCCAAACCACAGGAAGGTCATCTGTCGTTCACCGTTGTCCCTTTATCTCCCATTGATCCGGACAGCTTTATGAAAAACCTGGACAGCAATCATCCCCGGTGCAGATGATGATGTTGTAGCTCATCATCTGTCTCGAGCTGTAAATCCTGCAGCAATTTCTGTCATGTACTGTTCCAGTGCCAGAGCACAGGCAAGGCTAAACAACAATCTAGATTTTTCTTCTTTTTTTTTACACCGATAAAATGTTCATACGTGTGATTTAAACTGTCTAGAATGAGTGACATTTATTATTTTCTTCATGAAAGCAATTAATTTTTACACTTCAGTCTTTAGTCATGCCCTCCTAGAGATAACAAAGGCGGAGTGATTTCGACTGACAGAACATATCACGATGAATAAAGGGGATTACTCTGGGCCATTTCTGGACTTGTGTTATCAGCAGATGCCACTGACAGAGTGAAATGTGATCCTTCTACTTATGACATGTTTTCCACCATTTGCCATTGTAACAAATGTAGGAATAACACATCAGGGAGTGTTCGACACGAGCGTGCGGTAAATTTAGAACGTGCCGAGATTAGCTGGGGCACAGCATGGAGAAGATATTCAGCGCCCATGATAATCTCAGACAAATAGAAATTGTTTAGTCCTTCCTCGAACAGATGGTGAACGGAGCGAGAGGCAGAAAACGAGCAGAAACGGCGGCGATTAGCGACGTCGTCTTTTGTCGGCGCAGAGACGGCGGCCGGGGCTTTGTGCGTATTAATTGTTCTTGCATTTCTTTGCTCCTCTAGCCCCAACTTCAGCACTCCTCCACTCCTTTCTCTGCCTCTCGCAACTCATCCAGGGCTGTAATCACTGGGCTTACACTTCACTGTCACTTCTCTGTGCCAGTGTAAATGTGTGCACTTGTGTTCCTCCAAGGCTATTTGTGTCGTTGCATGTTCTGTATGTGGTAACAATGCAGAAACTGTACGTGTGAATTGTAAGGTGTGTGTTGTTGACTGTGTAGATGCTCATGTTTACTCATTGATAAGTGGTTTTTGTCTCTGTGTGTGTGTATTATGTGAACTTTGATTACATGTAGATTTGTGAGACAGACATCTGCCAATAAACAAACAGCATCATCTCCTGAGATGACGTTATGTCAAACCCTGATTGGTTTAAAATTAGCACATGCTGTTCTGTTGGGCAACAACAAGAAGGCTAACTACAAAAGAGGTAAACGGTTGTTTAAAAGAAACAACAAAAGAGCACAGTTGAAAAGTGTGTGCCATCCAGTAGTTCAGGGGATATTTTGCTAACAGAGAACTGAACTGAATCCAACAGTTGAGGCTAAAGTTTTCAGCAAAGATCTCACACAATGAGCAGAATCAGCAGAATATTTGTAGAATTACCGTATATTCAAGTATAATATGCAAAATTAAATCCATAAAATCATCCATAAATTTGGGGGTGTAGTACTATACTCGGATAAATATTTTTGCTTATGTATTTTAACTGAAATTTCGGCTTCATTCACAAAATGCCTGAGTCCGGAAATGAGATCGCGTCGTAAAAAGCAGTTGAAACGAGCTCACCTCTGACACTCCTCCGTGCTTCAGAGCGAGATAATAACAGATCCAGGCAGGCGACATGATGTGAAAAAAAAGGGGGAAAAAGTAGTCCTTCACCTTAGTAATGATAACAAACTAATGACATTAGCGTGTGACCGGGCCGCTCCTCCAACAACAACAAGCATATTCGTCTGTAATGGCTGCCGTCTACCGGTGTTCTGAAAAAGTTTGTATCTCTGAAAAACGTTTCCCCACCAGAGGGGGCGCTCGCGAGTAGGAAGTAATCTGCTTTTCCCCCAGAAGATGACCCAAATCTCATGTGAAGTCTCTGACTTTTGTGTTGGTACATCCTGGTGGACTATGTGTAAAATGCCAGAAATCATATGATGCTGCTACAGCTGATGTATATTTGTTGTCAAAATGCCTTTTAGTACATATGTTGTTAAAATAAAATGAACAGTCCAATGATCATTTTACTGATAAGTTTAAAGACTGCAAAGGCTGAAAAATCTTGAAGTCTGTATGAAATTGGAGGTAGTTTGAGGAGGGGGGGGGGTCGTATTATACGTGAGATCGTATTATACATGAATAAATACGGTAACTGATTTCATTGTTGTTTTTTTTAAGGTTAGCTTGCCATGGCAGCCATCTTTAATTAAGTTAAATCCAAAAAAAATTCAATTGTAGGGATGTAAGTTGGATTAAAATCTGTCCTTTGGTTTACGGAGTTGATTCAAAATACTGGGCAAGTTTAAACAAAAAGCTCGAGTTTTAGCAAAGTTTCTGTAAAACTGACTGAATGAGCACATATTTCATTTTGAGGATTAGAAATACCCCAAAATGTTTTATATATAAATGGTAAAATGGTAAATGGACTGTACTTATATAGCGTCTTTCTATCCATCCAGGACACTCAAAGCGCTTTACACTACAGACATTCACCCATTCACACACACATTCACACACTGATGATGGTAAGCTACATTGTAGCCACAGCTGCCCTGGGGCACACTGATATATAGATGCATTCTTTTGTTTATATCTGTATTTATTTATAATCGGTGATGCTTTGCAATGAAAATAACTGGATATCTAACTCACCACTTCCTGTACTTTATTTATCAGGGTATTATTTTTCTTTTATTTGTTATCACACTTTATACAACTGTAAGTTTGTTTACGTGTGTAGGCTGTTGTGCAAAACAAGCTGCAACATCCTCAAGTCATAATTAGGTCATCTTTTTTACAATCCAGTTCATTTCTGCATTTGCTGCTGTTTCAGATCACCAGAAGCTGGAGCGAGAGGCTCGGATTTGTCGCCTTTTGAAACACCCCAACATCGGTGAGATCGTCTTTGTCACTCCCCCTTCACATCACTGCAGCTTAACATAACTTTACTCTTCTTATTGCTGCTTTTATGCAAAGTAAAGATGGTAAAGCTTTTGATTTCTAGCTGAAAACATACAAAATATTAGTTACCTAATAAATATGAATGGTATTAAAATACTATAATGCAGATACTTCTTCTGTTGGTTGAATATTTCACTTTATTGCCAGAACTTGCTTTTATATTGTAAATATATGATGTAAGACTTCATTATTATGGCTCCCTGCGGTGGCTTCTCTCCTCGCACAGCCTTGCTGCTCCTTTTTATTTTTATTTTAATCTCCTGCTTAAAATGCAGCAGCGTTATTCGGAGGCGGTTTGAAGAAGCAAGTCTTTACCAGGGAATTAATAATAAAACACAATGAAATAAAGATGACAGCCGCTGAACATTTATCCCTCAATCTCTTCATCTTTCTCTTCCAGTTCGTCTTCACGACAGTATATCAGAGGAGGGCTTCCACTACCTCCTGTTTGACTTGTAAGTCATCCTCCTCCTCCTCCTCCTCCAAGCACCCTCATCATCTGCCTCCTCTCCCTCGATTCCCATACGCTCTGTATATAAATATATATGCACACACCATTACATAACTCTTTCCTATATTTACCCCATCGCTGTCACCGTCGCCACCCACACCCTCTGCATCCGTCTCCCAGCCGTTCCCTCTAGTTTCCATGGTAACGTGTGGGAAGGGGGAGTGGCAGGGATGTACGGGGGAAGATGGGGAGCCGTTAAAAAAAAATACAGGATGAAGTAATTATTCTTTCAGATTCATTCTTTTTTTTAGAGGGGCAATATTATGTGTTTCTCAGGCTTATATTTAAATACTATACCATAATAAAGTATCTATGTCACCTTTAGCTGTTATTAAAATGCTGTTTTTATGTTTAAATAAAATAAATTTATCTTCTCATCACTTCCTCTTCTAAACGCCTTGAAATTGGCCTCTGTCTCTTTAAGAACCACCTTGCGCTTCTGTCCCGTCCATTTCAGTTGGGGGGGTGGGGTCATGATGCAATTTACTTGGCATCTGAAAATACATTTCCTCAAAAGTATTTTTAATCTGAAAAGAGCTCCACTGAGTGAGAGGTAGTGTTAAGAGCACAGCAGACAGTTTCAGTTTCACTTTCAGTTTCACCTGAGAGCCTGCAGGAGTCATGGGTGGGGTGGGGGGAGGGAGGGCGCTCTGCCATGAGGAAGCTTAAAGACACGTCCCAGGGATGTTTCTGGTCCCAAAAGGTGTTTCTGGTCCCCACCTGTCGTTTTGCTCCTCAGCATGGCTTCCTAAAAACACTGCAGGATTTCTCAAACATGCATGAATGAGTCAAAATAAGGCTTTGGGCATGTTTTTATGAGAATATAACATTATAACATTATGCATACAATAGACTTGCCATCATTGGAATGGATTTTTTTCTGAAGTACAGTAATAGCAAATGAACAAAGGAATAACAGGAAACAATATTTCCGGCAGCAAAGGATTTAGCTAGAAGGCAAGGGTCTGCAACCTGCGGTTCTGGGGCCACATGTGGCTCTTTGGTCCCTCTGCAATGGCTCTTTGAAAATGTGACCAAACATAACAGAAGATTTTTTGTTTGTTTTTTTATACTCACAACAGAAATATATTTATTTGCAAACATGTGATCAATACTACTAAAACAAAAAATAAAACATGTTAGCTCATGCTACCTGTTTACTTAAGTAATTCAACGTCTTTCTATGATCTTTCTCTGAAATCCATCAGAATTACTTGCAGACTACATAAT